GACTCATCTCAATGTAAGTGCGCCTGCACACATCTACACCTCTGAGTTTAAGTTTTCATAATTGATTTACAACTTCTTCCTTCGTCCCAAAAAAAGTCACGTTTCAAGAACTCTTTTTCTTCCAAAAAATAGTCCGGTCTCAAAGACACCTTGATTTGAAAATAAAAAACCTATAAAGCCAAGTGCCCAAGAACCAAGCCGTAATAGTCAATTACACCAAACAATCTTGGGAATAAGTTATAGTGGTATATAAGTGAGCATTCATACATTGTAAAAGCTTCTGCATTGATGAGTACGTTGGCTAAAAAAAGGTGTCCCTAAAGGGGACTCTTTAATGGAATCTCTTCATTGTTTTCTGTGTCCGAGGTTAAGATCAACCTCCTTGCAATTGCAAGGGAATGCCCATTCAAGCGTCTTATTGAGCTTCATAGTTATCACTATGTCAATTATCAAACATAAAAGGATAATTCAAGATACTTGAGGCTGTACATATATTGTTAAACTACAAATTATGAACTCGTAACTCCTAAAAACCAAATCACTAATGTAACAAATGAAGACTGCCAGTGTGTAAAGCTGCAGCTAATAGTAGAGAGAAATGAAATTGAAGGAATGAATCTAACCTATATGCAGTTATAGGTGCATCTGGGTTTGCTTCCCGTGGCATTAGTTCTGAACCCCGACCTTCACTTATCATCTTTGAGGCCAAATCAATCATCGAAGCAGTATCAGGTAGAGTCGCTCTGTATTCCCGGTCACTAACAGGAGCCTGTACAGAAAATAGGGCATCATGACTCGCGTCAAAAGGATCCTCAAGATACAAAGGTTACCTCATATATAAATTGGACTCATACAAAGTAGACAACAGATGTGAGATCCTGAATCCCCCCCCCCCACCCAACCCAAGTCAGTTTGATAACTAAAGGGAAGACAAATTGGCCAAAATCATCTCAAAAGGGGTTGGCCATCAAACCAATGCTGCACCTGAATTTAGTAGTAGAATAATAGCATATTAATTCAGGTCTAACTTGCCTCAATATTATCCTTAAGAAATAAGGTTTACCTCAAACTTATCTATGTTAAAAGCATTTGTCCCACACCGGTAAGCTATAAATACAATTAAACACTATATAAGGCTTTGGGTTACTGCTCCTATCAGGTTGACCTTTTAGGATGGAACCCCGGGTCTTAACAATCCACTAGACTCAAACTCAATAGAAAACCGATGCGGGACACTCAGCAGTAAGCCGGTAAAAAGGCTAAATAATAGTAGAAGAACGGGTGGAGCATAAAATCATGATGTTCAAGTAAGTAGATTACCTGCAAAATGGCAGCACGAACAGCTCTAGAACATGCAGCATTGGTGCGCAAGTAATACACGATGTCCTACATTTCAAAACCAGACAGGATAGTCATCACTTCAGGCACTAATCACAGATTCACATTAGATGTTGTGCCCTTTATTTGGAGAGAATGTATGTAACTCATATTCAAAATGTAATAAAAATGAATAGTTGATTACCTGACATCCAGTACTGTGTCCAAGAAGTATCACACCCTCAGAATCTTCCTTGTTTATTAAGTAACTTATCAGCTGATCAAGCTCCACGGCATCCTTCAAACATAAGGAGCAAAAAAAATAACATACTATATAAAAGACCACCCAATGTTCACTAGAAGATATACATAAAAAAAAGTTACTCAAAATATTCACTAGAAGAAAGAATTTTAAAGGACACAGGGCCATGGCCCATGGGAAAGCATCTAGTATTGGTCAACGTCAACATTCCGATGATTTGGGAAACAAATAATTACTTGTTTCAAGCTTGAGGTCCCATATCCACTATAAGAAGATGAAAGAAGAAATTGAACTAGTGACCATTTCTCTTTATCCAAAGCAATCGCCAAAGGCTCCAAATACCTGCAAAAATATCTGCCAACTTCAGAAACTACAAACGTGTACATGCAGTAAGAAAGATCCTAGTTCACACATAATAGAAAGAGTTGACAGGTTGAAATGTTTCCAATGGATGGTTTACAAATTCAAGATTATTTCTTTGTTATAACCCAAGAGCAGAGAGAGTCTCTCTTTATTTGTGAAGTTCTCATACTCCTTAGGTCTTTCTTAAATTAACAAAAATTTGTCAAAAATCAAATAATTTCCCACACACCAATTCCATGCTAGATATACCCAAAACTCCAAAAGTAAAAATATAGGCACGAATTTAGGGAACAAATATACACATTTTATCCTTCTCTTCTTATTTAAACTTATACATGAAGTCAGAATGTTAATTATGAACTTATATTTGCTTTTCATGAGACCTCTTAAGATTCTCATATAGGCACGACTGAGGTCTGAGGGCTACCCAATGCAGATTGATATAAGCCCTAGGGTAATACAAATGTTTAAGAAACCAATAATAGGATTTAAGATAAACAGTTTTCCATGAAGAAAATCACATTCCAAGCGGAGTAATGCGGTTTAAACAGTGCCAACATCAATCATGAACCATGTAAATATCTACAAATCTCAAACAAACAAACTTCTTGCTTATACATACTCTGTAGCCAAAAATCCATCTGTTAGTCCGCCTATAAAAATAACTTGTTGCTTATAGTCACCAGTCTTGAAAGCTACCTGCAAAATGGTGTGACATACAATTTTGAAGTTTTTTTAATGTAGTGATAAAGCAGCACTTTCTAACAAAAAACATGCATTCAGGAAATACGTCCAATGATTTGAGGATTTTCATAGTGTGAACCCATATGCACAAGTACATACTCACTCCTTCCCATAAAAGTCTTCTCGTTCGCTTTGGAAGAAGCAATTTTATCCATGAGAATAGCTAGCTATTTGAAACGATCCACCAAGTAAAATGGCAAAAAAAAATTGGGGCTGAGGAGTAAAAAAATTGACCTCCATAGAAGTGCATACTGTTTTACAACTGCCAACATTAATGTCAAGTTCTTCTGACACCTATGCACTTAACTAACAGAGTTCTAGGGAGCAAAAAATATTAAAAATTCAGTCTTTCAGCTAACCTGGATAGAATTGGGGCCGTACTTAAACATCACTCCACGGAACTGCTTTTTCTTAGTGATAGGCGAGTCGTTAACGGAGTCGGTGGCGGCGGAAGCGGTCGAATTATTTGGCACGCTCTTTGAGCGGCCCCGGACAATACCGGAAAGCCAAGAAGTAGTGGCCCTGGTGGACGATGCCGTGGGAGAAGTGGCCATCGACGGATCCATTCACTAAATCCGCGTCTCCGACTTGATTCCGTTTTCCATTTGCAGATGAAGATGGGATTGTGTCAGTGACGATGCCCTTTGGATTAGGACTTAGGAGGCGGTTAATATTATGTAGCTTGATTATTAGAATTCCGGAATATGAATAATTGGTTCCAATAATTACAGTGGATGGCGTTGATGTATCAAAATAATAACTACTCCAATAATATGCCCAATACTAAAATTTGTTTTATTTTTTTGTGAGTTTCGTATCATCAATTGGAAATTATTTTTAGCATGTGTGAGTATAAAATATGTTACATGTTCTCTGTTTTGGTGACGTTGCACAGAGTTAATACTAACAAAATTTGTGACTATTGTAAAATGTTACTCCGTATTTGTTTAACAAACTTGCAATATTTGAGGCTTTTGGGAACAGAGTATTTGAATAATTGGCTTGTTGTTTACTCCATCCGTCCCAATTTGTTTTGCAAAATTTCCTATTTTGGTTGTTCCAAAATGAATTTCAACTTTCTTTTTAGGTATGTAAATAAGAGTAAAGTGACAAATTTACTCTTACTTTTAGGATGAAGGATAAAAGTGTACAAAGCAAACACCATTTATTGTCATTCCTTAATCCTTGTGCCGGTCAAAGTTTGTAATTTAATTCGGAAAGGCGAGTATTTAGTTCCGGTTGCACGCGATCGAGTGGCTGATGATGATGGTACGGTGTGTTCATACCCGTCATGTTTCGAACTAACTAATCACCTAAAAGTCCTCAAGGAAGTTTTTTACTTGTATCAATGTATGGTGTTTTTTGTTGTTGAAAGGACCAGTGTAGGCAGATTATACCATACGACCGGTATACCATCCGCATGGTATACCGGTCCAAAAACGTCGTCGTTTCTTTATTAAAAAATTAGGTTCCGTCTTAGCCTCTTAGGCTTTAACCGACTTACGATTTCCGCAGCTCTTCAATAACGGAATTCTCTCCTTGCTCTGCCTTCTCTTCGATTCGTTTCTAAGGTTTTTCAATGGATTTTTCTGTCGATGATTCTGTTGTTTTTTATTCTTCGATTGGATTGCAAGATAATTTTGTTTCTAATACACACGATAACATCATTCATTCGATTGGTGATAATGATTTCGAAGTTGATCAGCTGGTTGATGTTGAATTGATCGGTACGTGTAATTTTTTCTTGGTGTATGATTTGATCAGCTGGTTTATGTTGTGTAATATCTTTCGCTCTCTGTTTTATACCATTGCTTTAGAATTTCGATTGTATGAGTATTCATAGTTGTTGATTTTGCGCATGTTCAGGAGAAGAAGAAACTATTTCAAAAGCTTCTAAATTGTTATATCTTCTTAGCAGAGGTATTTGTTCTGTCATGTAACTTCATTTCATTTTGGTTGTAATTCTGTTCAATGTTATTTAACTCTCATTTATTTAAGTGTAGCATGTGTTACCTGATATGTAAGTTTTGTTTTATTTAATGTAACATAGTGACAAAGTATGTAGTTGTTGATTGTTTTTCATATATATATGTTTTATAAATTGTCAGATTCATCGGAAAATGTTCAGAAGTCAACTGAGAATAAATCCCTTGTTGGGCTTAGTGTCAAGTGTGAAGAGGATGCTTATAAACTTTAAAAAGATCATGCTTTTGAAAATGGATTTGGTATACGTAGATACAGACAGAGGTTTAGGAGTGGCAATGTAAGTTTGACTATGAAGTCTTACTGTTGTTGGAAAGAAGGGAAGAAGCTACAAAAGGGTACTGAAAACAAAATGTATACTAAGTTAGATTATCGTAGTGGTTGTAAAGCGAAATTACAATTTTCTATTAGTTCTGATGGTGAATGGACTGTCTCAAAGCATATTATTGATCACAACCATGCTTTCTGTCCAATTGGTCAAAGACACCTGCTGAAATCACATAGAGGCGTTGATCGTGAGTATCTTGAATTTATTATGTTGATGAAGGAGAGTGGAACAAAGGTTTCAGATGTTCACAGGATGCTTCAAAAACAGGCTGGTGGTGTTAGTGCTCTTGGATTCACAAAACGTGATGCTTATAACGTTCTAGAAACTGAAAGAAGTAAAACGGTTGATGGTACTGATTCGAACACTTTGATTGGTATATTGAAGAAAAGGGCTGAAGTAGAATCTGATTTTTTCTTTGATTTTGAGCTGGTTGATGGCGTACTGAGTTGTTTTTTCTGGAGATATGGTCAAATGAAATCCGATTATGAGAGGTTTGGAGATCTAGTTGTGCATGATACAACTTACAGGACTAACAAGTATGATATGATATGTGGTCCGTTTATTGATATGAATCACCATTGTAAAAATATAATGTTTGGTTGTGTCTTTATGCTAAATGAAAAGGTGGAGTCTTTTGTTTGGTTATTTCAGACTTTTCTGAAATCTATGGGTTGTAAACACCCCATCACTTTCATGACAGACCAGTCATTTTCCATGGCAGCGGCTATCAAATCTGTGTTTCCTGGGGCAAGACATAGACTATGCACTTGGCATATAGATGAGAATTCAAAGAAACACATCATGCATCTAGCAAGAAGATAAATTTTGTTTCTCTTTTTTATTATGTTGTCAAACGATGTGATACTGTTGCAGAGTTTGATTTCTATTGGAATGAGTAAGTTGTGTGTATCATGATGTAACTTTGTAATTATATGATGTAACCTGTACAATCATTTGATGTAATCTTTTCTTCTTTTAAATCTGTTTCAGATTGAATAGAATTTATGAATGCAGTGACAACACATGGTTGAAGAGGCTGCACAGTCATAAAGAAAAGTGGTGTCCTGCTTTTTCGAAGGATTACTTCTCTGGTGGTATTCTATCCTCGCAAAGAAGTGAATCTACAAATAGATCCATATCTAGAAGACTTACAAAGACCGCAACATTATGTGATTTTTACAAAATGTTTTGTGATGTTGTTGATGAGTGGAGGTTAGAGGAGAATGGTCATGATTTTAGATGTTCCGAAGGCACCGTTGAGATGGTATTGCTGCAAGACAGTTTGTTGTCTCATGCGAGAGATGTGTATACCCTTGAGATTTTCAAAGTGTTCCAAGAACAATATTTGAAGGGTATGTCTCATTTTTTTAAATTGATCTCTGAGAATGGCCATGATTATGTGTATAATGTTTGGTTGGAAGGGGTAGATTTGATTAATCACAGTGTTACTTTTAATCAAAATGACAATACAGTGACATGCACTTGTAAGATGTTTTCTGAAGTTGGCATTTTTTGTAGACACATTTTGCGTATCTATAATGTCCATTGTGTCAAATGTATTCCCCAAGTTTATATACTCTCTAGATGGACAAAGGCTGCCATTCTGCCAAATGTTAATCTTTCTCTTACGCACGGAACCGATATTATGTTTGGCAAAATATTGGAAGATTCTGTTTGGAGGGTGCAAATGACTAGGAAATTCAACTCAGTATTGGGTGCAAGTGCTGGTTTTCCTGAAGCTAGGCGAGTATGTGAACAAGGATACGAGTCTATTAAACAATTTTTGGATATACAAAGAAATTCTTCTGTTTTGGATGAATCTGCTTCAAGAACAATATTGGATCCTCCACGCTCTCGTCCTAAAGGTTAGCGAAATACCCGAAAGAGAAGTATTGTTGAGAAACAGTGCAAAATAGTCAAAGCTCGTCGTTCCAAATCCCAAAATGTTGCCTCCAATTCAAAAGCAGTTGCTCAATCTGTTGTACAGGTATTTGTTTACTTTTGTTATATATTTAATGTATATATTTCTGATCATTACTTTTTGTTTGATCCTAGGACACTGTTAATTTCATGGTTCCACAAGGTTATGTACTTGCTCATCCAGTTGGAGGAATGACGTCTTTAATGCATGTGCCTAGATCTCCACAAGTTTTTGCTCCATACTTCATGCAATCAAATGCTGTGAACCAAATGCAGAATTAGTTATAGTCACACAGTTTACATATCTTATTGTGGGTTATTACTATTGTTGCAACCTGAGTTATATTTGATTTTATGGAATTTATATTGTCTTTACAGACTTTGTAATGAAGTTTGTTTGCTCAGTCACTGCTCTGTAACAGTTGTCACATTTTTTTTGCCTTGAGTTACATAGTTCTGTAACGTGATATACATTTGTTGTGGTCATTGTTTACATCAGATATATATTACTTCTATACCTAATGTATATACAAAATTCAATTAAAGTAGTTTATATTTCAACGAGTTACATGTGAATGAGTGTAAGTTACATTTTGAATAACACGAAGTTACATGTGGAATCACACGAGTTACATCAAATTATTATAAACAAAACATGTAAGTTGTCCACATACATTTGCATTTTACAACATAATGTCTTAAAACAAAACAGATCACTTGTCCAGTGCATTTGTTGTGGTCATTGTTTACATCAGATATATATTACTTCTATACCTAATGTATATACAAAATTCAATTAAAGTAGTTTATATTTCAACGAGTTACATGTGAATGAGTGTAAGTTACATTTTGAATAACACGAAGTTACATGTGGAATCACACGAGTTACATCAAATTATTATAAACAAAACATGTAAGTTGTCCACATACATTTGCATTTTACAACATAATATCTTAAAACAAAATAGATCACTTGTCCAGTGCATTACAAGCACGAGGAACTGCATAAAACCAGCAAATGCTTTCACACTAACCCCACCATAATCCCAACAGCAAATGTTTTGACATTAACCCCACCACACTAATCAATTACAAAGGTTCTCTTTTGCTCTCTTTAGGACATTTTCCCTTTCGCTGTTAAAATTTGACAATAGTACTTGAGCTCCATACATCATTCTCAATTTCTGGAGCGTTTCAGCTTGAGATTTGATCCCTTCACTTGTAGCAGCGGTTGCAAATCCACAATCCCATGAATGTCCTTGCCCACGATAGGTCTCCAGGTGGCGCAAAGCAAATATTCCACAGTCAACAGTATTGCCATTATGTCTCCATGGCATATACAAGATTCTGGGAACCCAAATTCTCGGCTTTCCATCTGAAAAGTTCATTTTCTCACAAAAGGCTTTGAATCCATCACCATGTACAAGAATGTACATTAATGTACTAATATAATATTGAATAAAATCTGTTATTATTTCCAAAACTAATATTGAATTTTTACCATTTTATCAAAAGTTTCCCCATATTTGTCCCTAAAGGTCACCCCATCAGGAAGCACACGGTTATCAATTACATCAACAATGTTGCTTTTTTTGTAAAAGCAATAGACATAATAGTGCGCAGCTTTGTGTATTGGAACTAGTACCTGCAGTATACACAAGACATAAGCAATTCATCTTTCACAGTGACATAAGTTACATAAAATCATACAGAATGTACATAAGTCATATCAAGACTTACATTCCTCAATACCTGCAGTTACATATTAATTTAAACCACTTATTTTAACAATTTTGTTAAAACAACAGTGACTTATATAAAATAATACATAATATACATGTGTCATATCAGGGATTACATTCCTGGATACCTGCAGTTACATATTATTTAAACCATGAACACTTGAACTACGTAAATTTAAATATTAATCAGATTTTACCATATCAAATTTTGATATATCTCCTCCTGCATCATTGATCTCTTTTTGCAATCTTTCAACAACATTTTGTATGGGGTCACCAGATGTATAATCAAACATTGCCTGCACATTCAAATTCAGTCAATGCAATCAAAATATAGCAACTGAAGTTCTCTACTATATTTTACAAATTTACAAGAAAGAACTATACATACATATACTTGTGTTGATGCTATGAAGGCACGCTTTGTAGTATTATTGGATTTTTCTCTCTCATTCAGAATCTTTGCAAATGCATCAATGATCGAGTTGTCTATATTTTCTTTTTGAAGTGTGTGAAACTCCTCCTTAGTCATATAAACACCTCCCTCATCTTGATACACAAAGTCACTAACACGATAATATTTTTTAAAGAAATTGAATCAGTTAATTATGAAATACTGTTTTCTATTGATATAATACATTGTATAATATCAGACTTTCTTACTTTTCAACTTCTTATAAGAAGCCATAGTCGAGAACAATCTTCTCATCCCTGGTCATCTCTTTGCATAACCTTCTGTTATTCTTCAAAAATGGTGACCTGTAATTCATAGCTGCATCACCTAACTTTCTAATTTTCCTCTTTCTTGTATATGGCTTTAGCCCAACATTCCTTTGGAAAAAACAACAAAATGTTAATTTAACTGAGTTAACTAAACAGATTAACGAATTACATGATAAACAATTAACACTCACTCGTGTTTATTTTCAACCTCTTTTTCCTCTGCAGCAGGTTTATCCTCTACAGCTACCCCAGTCTCTTCATTCACTTCTCCAGTAGCAGCAGTTTGGTTCACTACATCAACCCCAGTTTCAATTACCACATCTTCTATATAAGGAGCAGTTTCAATCATCACATCTTCTACATCAGTAGCATTGCCATTTATCACAGCTTCCCCATCAGTAGCAGCTTCAGTCATCTCATCACTTTGTTGCACTTTTGAAGTGCTTGCACCTTGAGTCATGTTAAACTCAATTCCTAAATCAAATGAAGGCATTGCAAATCTTAGATATGCTGCCTTTTCCAGTTTCTCAAGGGCTTCCATAACTCCAGGCTCATTAAAAAAGTCATCATCTTCATCAAGTACACACTTCTCTGATAATCTTTCTTTTTGAGCCACGTTCTTATCTGCATTTGCTTGATTAATAAAGTAATCAGCAGTCGTCAAATATATCTTCTTCAATATATCAGAATTTGGGAACTTCTTAGAAATGGTTGAAGGCAGCTTGGAAAACTCAAAAAATGCATCACTGAATTTTTGTGCGACTGCCACAATTTCCTTCACACACTCCTATAAAAATTAAAAATAAACTAGAAATTGTCAAATTGTCATATCACATTTATAGGTATACAGTGGAATCATCAATGAGAAATTAAAGTTACATTCTAAACAACAAGAGTTACATGTTTTGAATACAAATTACATGATTTAAATGATTACAAAACTTACTTCCTTTGTCAACAGCTCATCTGCTTTCTCTTCAACTTCTTCTTCTACAGGCATGATTCTGGGCTTCACCTTGCCAAGTCCAAATCCCAACTTCCTCTCAGCTTTTACTCTTTTATCAACTCTATCCTTCGTCCAGAATTTTATTGTTGGAAAAACACTTTCCAAAACCTGTCCTTTGAATTGCACCCTATCCAAGTAACAGATCATAAGAAAAAATAATGGTCCAGAAAACATTCTTGATGGATAAGCCTGCCATTCTTCTCCAGCATCCATTAGTGACTGTCTTGTGTATTTACACCAGTTAAGATTTTTTATTTCAGCAACATTTACTAAAGAAAGCATGATTTTGAAGTTGCTCTTCACACTCTGGTTGCCTCTAATCAAACAAGAGACTGTGAAGACAACAAAATCCCTGATGAACTTATCTCCATCATCATTGTCAGCAATGATTTTTTCTATCATTGATGTTGTCTGTGGGCTTCCTTTCTCAATGCCCCACTCTGCTCTCCATTCCTTTAGAAGCTCAGTGTATTCTTCTGTATCGTTCTTTCCATTTGCTTCCATAACATCTTTATCTCCTTTGGGCAAGCCAAACACTGCTTTGACATCTTCTTCTTCGATATCTAACAACTCTCCACTTGTAAGCTTCAGTTGTCCAGATATTGGTCTAAGGTTTTGCAGTAGAAACTGGACAATGTCTGCATGGAACTTATCAAAGGTGAGGTGTAGCAAGGAACCAAAGCCAATTTTCTGAACAGCTGTCTTCTGTTTTTCACTTAATCCTTTGATGAGTCTTACAAATGGACCAGGTCCAACTCTAGTTCTCAGATTTATTGAAGCAGCATCTTCAGCAGAATTGTTCTCCACCATTTCCCTTCCAGGTTGTTCTACTACTTTTTCTTTTTCTTCTATAACAGCAGTCTTCCTCTTTCGCGTATTTTGTGCAATTGTTGTTGGATTTTCTTCTATAATCATCTGTATAGGTGGTGGCTGTTCTACTGGTGGAATACTTTCATCGGAATTACCCCTGTTATATATAATAAAATTATAATTAATTTTTATGTGATGCATTACTCACCAAAAACTGCAGTTACATCTAAATATACACAACTTACACAATCCCTAGCAGAAGTTACATCGGTGATTACATTAACCATACAGAGCATTTTGTACATCAATCTTTTTTACATGTTTATATGCAAGCTTTATTTAATTCATAGCAGTATATACATCATTTTAGAACAGAAATGGAGCATTTTGTTCCACAATTCCATTAGTTATATAAGGATTTAAACATTGAAACTCAGGAATCTTACCAAAAACTGCAGTTACATCTAAATATACACAACTTACACAATCCCTAGCAGAAGTTACATCGGTGATTACATCAACCATACAGAGCATTTTGTACATAAATCTTTTTTACATGTTTATATGCAAGCTTTATTTAATTCATAGCAGTATATACATCATTTTAGAACAGAAATGGAGCATTTTGTTCCACAATTCCATTAGTTATATAAGGATTTAAACATTGAAACTCAGGAATCTTACCAAAAACTGCAGTTACATATTTTTAACAACTGTAGTTAGATCTGAAAATATACACTTTGCTTATTCAAATTGACATCACAATTAGACATAAATCACACTATTCAATACTCAATCTGTTTCGATTTTGAGTGTGACATACATGCATGTTGAAATTTATAGCAGGCTAGCATGGATCATATTGTTAAATGCTCAGACATACATTTTGAACTTGAAAAAGTGAAGTACATAGTTCGTTTGAATGAAATACCTGGCAACTATTTTGCCTTTAGACCTCGTCATTTTCTCGAACTGCAAAACCTTCTTCGTTCGATTTCCTTGTTGTTTCTTCTTCAGAGTGCTTATTCTTCCTTACTCTTCCGTCTGGCGTAATGAACTTCGAAATGTAAATCTCGAATTTCAAAAGACGCCCTTGGAAGGAGTGAAGGCGTATAACCGCTCATGTGAGAAAAGACGTGCCGGCTTGCAGAATGCCGTTTATTGGCTTTGCACGTTTTTTTAATTAATGCAGGACGACATCGTTTTGAGCGCGGGTGTAGCATGCTCATAGTGGGC